CGGAATCGTACAATCGACTCTACTTTATGCAGACATTTGCTCATGTTATAGACGGAATCGTACAATCGACTCTACTTTATGCAGACATTTGCTCATGTTATAGACGGAATCGTACAATCGACTCTACTTTATGCAGAGATTTGCTCATGTTATAGACGGAATCGTACAATCGACTCTACTTTATGCAGACATTTGCTCAGGATATAGTCGGAATCGTACAATCGACTCTACTTTATGCAGACATTTGCTCATGTTATAGACGGAATCGTACAATCGACTCTACTTTATGCAGAGATTTGCTCATGTTATAGACGGAATCGTACAATCGACTCTACTTTATGCAGACATTTGCTCATGTTATAGACGGAATCGTACAATCGACTCTTCTTTCTGCAGACATTTGCTCATGTTATAGACGGAATCGTACAATCGACTCTACTTTATGCAGACATTTGCTCATGTTATAGTCGGAATCGTACAATCGACTCTACTTTATGCAGACATTTGCTCATGATATAGTCGGAATCGTACAATCGACTCTACTTTATGCAGACATTTGCTCATGTTATAGACGGAATCGTACAATCGACTCTACTTTATGCAGAGATTTGCTCATTTTATAGACGGAATCGTACAATCGACTCTACTTTATGCAGACATTTGCTCATGTTATAGACGGAATCGTACAATCGACTCTACTTTATGCAGACATTTGCTCAGGATATAGTCGGAATCGTACAATCGACTCTACTTTATGCAGACATTTGCTCATGTTATAGACGGAATCGTACAATCGACTCTACTTTATGCAGACATTTGCTCATGTTATAGACGGAATTGTACAATCGACTCTACTTTATGCAGACATTTGCTCATGATATAGTCGGAATCGTACAATCGACTCTACTTTATGCAGACATTTGCTCATGATATAGTCGGAATCGTACAATCGACTCTACTTTATGCAGACATTTGCTAATGTTATAGACGGAATCGTACAATCGACTCTACTTTATGCAGACATTTGCTCATGATATAGTCGGAATCGTACAATCGACTCTACTTTATGCAGACATTTGCTCATGTTATAGACGGAATCGTACAATCGACTCTACTTTATGCAGACATTTGCTCATGTTATAGACGGAATCGTACAATCGACTCTACTTTATGCAGACATTTGCTCATGATATAGTCGGAATCGTACAATCGACTCTACTTTATGCAGACATTTGCTCATGATATAGTCGGAATCGTACAATCGACTCTACTTTATGCAGACATTTGCTCATGATATAGTCGGAATCGTACAATCGACTCTACTTTATGCAGACATTTGCTCATGATATAGTCGGAATCGTACAATCGACTCTACTTTATGCAGACATTTGCTCATGTTATAGACGGAATCGTACAATCGACTCTACTTTATGCAGACATTTGCTCATGATATAGTCGGAATCGTACAATCGACTCTACTTTATGCAGACATTTGCTCATGATATAGTCGGAATCGTACAATCGACTCTACTTTATGCAGACATTTGCTCATGTTATAGACGGAATCGTACAATCGACTCTACTTTATGCAGACATTTGCTCAGGATATAGTCGGAATCGTACAATCGACTCTACTTTATGCAGACATTTGCTCATGATATAGTCGGAATCGTACAATCGACTCTACTTTACGCAGAGATTTCTATTGGATATAGAAGGGGTTTTATCCCTTTTATCTATATTCAACTTTTCGGTACAAATGAAACCAGTAACGAGAAACATATGAAGATGTGTGTTCATCCTATACGCGTCCTTTCTATTCAGCGGTTACAAAGACAGATTCATACATCTGAGGCAGCGTGTTGTGGAAACTGTTTCCCTAAAAACTACCAATGACGATATCATGCAATACCACACATAATGGGCAAAAGAAAGAATATTTGGCTTTCCAATTAAAAATGTTTCAGAAAATAAGCAACAAAAAGGAAGTTGTTTAGTCTTGGCGTTATTCCTACACACGTAGCGTTCAGCCGCACTATGGGAGACCAAAGATAACCATCGCGTTAAGTAAGACTTGAAAAGAACAGACCAGATTCGTTTACAACATGAGACTAAATCGTTCGCACCAAACAAACTCCTAACCTTTAGGAGATGAATCAGGCCTTGGGGCGCACCAGGCATGGCAATAGCTTGCCCCTGATTAATTCCCCAGAAGTTCTATGAAGTCAGGGTCTATATTCTTTGTTGGATATATGCGCGCGTTACTTTATCAACCACTTGAACCCCGCAGCCGTGTCCTTTTCATAAGCTTGTCTTTCATGGTCGCAGAAGTCGCAATGTTCAACGGTTTCTCAGTCTACTGACTGTCTAACCGGTAGACGAGGATGCATTTGAGTCGTGAAGCAAAAAGGTTAAGCTTCCTGAAATTATTGATTGTATCATCTTCAGACGGGGTGGGGTCCTTAAACAAATCCCTGTGAAAAGCATTGATTGTTGACCAGTTAAGCCTGAGCAACACTATGAGGAACGTAAACGGCCCTTCAGGACAAGCACGGGCTGGAAGAGACAGACCCCTGTCAGTTTGTACTGGCTCTGTGCCAGACACGAAGTGGTGCGGTTTGTACCGGAGTCTGCCACATGTGGACTGATCATCCTGTGTTCGATTAGCCGTGGAAATGAAGGCGTATTTGAACAGACTGTTCTGGTAACCACGGATCGAACACGTGGGTTGGAACCTTGGCTCTCGTTGCGGCATATTTTCTAACTGTCTGAGGAGTTGTTTTTTTGACAAGAGAACATTAGGGTAATCTTGGACCGATCTGTGTGCTGTATTTGCGCTCATTTGCAGTAATACGTTTATTCAGTGATTGACCTTGCTGAGTGGAGAAGGATACGTGGGCATTTCCTGTAGGCGTTTAATAACGTTGTTATCCCGTTACGTCAAATTCATTCTGTTTCACTGCTTTTGCTAATGTTTGACCGTCGGCGTAACAAAGAAAATAGAAGTCTTGCAGTACAAAATGGAAATGAGCATGAATGTTCAGATCAATCTGGGTCGGTGGAAGCTATAATGGAAGGAGAGCTTGCAACGGACATCGTGAAACTGTTGTATCGCAAGTTATAATAATATTAATATCCCAACGACCACTGCATCGAATTTATGTGCAGTATGTTGAGGAGATCAGCAACCCTGCAGAGTCCTTCGCTTGGATGAAGTCGGCTGGCCTGAAAAGTGAAACAGAAGGCTTTCTGTTTGCTGCTCAGAACCAGTCACTTCCCACTCGAAACCGAAACATCAAAATGTTAATATGAAATGTAGACTATGTAATGAATTTAATGAGACTGCCCAACACATTGTCAGTGGGTGCCCAGCTTTGGCACACACACACACAGTATCTTAAGCGACATGATGGAGTGGCGGGATCGTTTTATTACCGTCTTCGCAATGCTTGTGGTTTTGACACAGGTCCATCCATGGTACGACCCATAATATGTAGAGGGCGTCATGGAAAATCATAAATGCAAAATTCTTTGGAAAAGGTCCGTATACAGCCTCAGACGTATCCAGGCCAACAAACCTGATCTTGTCCCTTTTGATAAACCTAATGCAATCATTTATATGTTTGAATTTTCTGTCCCTTTTGACACTAATGTGATTGACAAGATTGAGGAAAAACATGGCAAATATGCAGACCTCGCTTTCGAAATGTCACGCTTGCATCCTAAATGCCAAGTTGTCCGACTCCCCATTGTTCTTGGTGCCTTAGGTTTGGTAGCTCCCAGTCTGTTGACTGACATTGGGAGAGTACCCGTGTTTGCTACCAGGAATACAGCCCTTCTGACAATCTGGGTAATGCAGGAGGCTGCAGTGTTGGGGAGTCTTCACATTCTCCGAAAAGTTCTGGGTGGGTTTGACTAGGCAGCGCTTCCTCGGAGAAGTCCCATTCGCTGTCTGGGCTGCGTGTAGAGGGTGCAAGGGCCCTGAGCCGATGATGAGCCTCACCAGCCTGACTCTGCCACGATCACCCAAACCCTCTTTGCTGCATTTTTTATTTTAATCTGTACATAATAATATGCTATTTATAGTGCGCATATAGCCACACCACTCGGGGGCACGCTCAAAGCTCTATCAGTACCCCGGTCACTGGATCACTGTGCACTCTATCATTCTCAGCTCCCTGGGGAGTATACAACCCGAGGTGCCTGTTAGAAGGTTAACAACCACATTGCCATCTCATTCTACCGGGTAGATGAAGTTGTATATAGAAGAAATGTTCCATGAAAGGTAAACTGGTAGCGGTTTGTTTATGTTAACCTTTCTAAAACTCTTCAAGAACATCGTGATGTCAAATATGACAAGGTCCAGTTATGTTTTTGTATGTAACCGGCACAAAGTGACACAACAATATCACGTTTACCTCGTTCTGCGTGTTGGGACAAACCCTTCATTGGGTCACTCACAAGGCATTCAATGGGTGAAGGACAGAGGTCTTGAATCCATGGGACTACAACAAATGTGCCCCTGTACTTAATGATTGTTCAGGTTTATAACCCCCCCACCCCCCACCCCACCCCCCCCATCCCCCACCCCACCCCACACCCCACCCCAATCCCCACCCCACCCCACTTCTCCCCTATAATATAACTGCTAAATCTATATGTTACCCCCTGCTGTTCAAGTTTGTGTATGTTACCTTGTAATGATCCATTCCAAGAAAATATCATGTTTATCCACATTGACCTCCCGTAACACAGCCGCTAGTCCCTTATAAATGCCCTTAACCTCAATCAAGTCACAATTAAACATTGCTTTTCAACGTCGCAGTGGCATATGGTCACTATATCAGTAACTAATCATGTTTTGCGATGGAACCAACATGTTACATTGTAAGCATTAGTATCCAATTGACAAAATCAAATTATACTTCAGATACCGTCACTGTTTGACATAAGGTGAGCGGTTTAATAATTTGCATGCACTGGCTACACGTGTAACTTACTGTCTCAATATGTTGTTCCATGGACATCGGGCACCTTGGTCAAGTCAACACCATGACTTTCATGTTCATCGGATTGCGATGTTTCATCTATCTGCCGCCGAGATCGATCCCTCCATTCTGAACGTGACAAATGCCCCCTCCGCCCAGCTCGCCAATACTCTCTCCGGACAATCCACACAGATGAATTTGGTGTTGTGGGTACCGAGCATCGCCAGCAGTGAACAGTGACACAGTGAGAGGGGACCCGGTGGCGGGCATACAACGGAAGGACGGTGTTGTTCAGGCGGTTCGCAGACTGTAGCCAGGCCATAACGAACTTGCCACGATGTACAGTTAGGTTAGACACGTTGTTTCCTCAGTTCCAATTTGTTGCATCATTTCTGACTCATTGGTTGCTGAGACTTCTGAACATAATCGGAGTGGGCATACACGCTTCCACACACGCTTCCCGCTTGCACACGCGGTTCCACACACGCTTCCCGCTTCCACACGCACTTCCATACACGCTTCCACACAGGCTTCTCGCTTCCACACACGCATCCACACGCTTCCACACGCGCTTCCACAAACGCTTCCACACACGCGTCCTCACACGCATCTCGCTTCCACACACGCTTCATTCCCGCTTCCACACACACTTTCCGCTTCCACACACACGTCCTCACACGACTCTCGCTTCAATACACGCTTCATTCCCGCTTCCACACACACTTTCCGCTTCCACACACACGTCCTCACACGACTCTCGCTTCAATACACGCTTCATTCCCGCATCCACACACACTTTCCGCTTCCACATACGCGTCCTCACACGCATCTCGCTTCCACACACGCTTCATTCCCGCTTCCATACACGCATCTTGCTTCCACACACGTATCCTCACACGCATCTCGCTTCCACACACGCTTCATTCCCGCTTCCACACACGCATCTCGCTTCCACACACGCTTCGTTCCCGCTTCCACACACGCGTCCTCACACGCATCTCGCTTCCACACACGCTTCATTCCCTCTTCCACACACACTTTCCGCTTCCACACACGCTTTCTCACACGCATCCCGCTTCCACACACGCTTCCACACATGCTCCCATACACGCTTTCTGCTTCCACACACGCTTCACGCTTCCTCACACGCATCCCGCTTCCACACACACACTTTCCTCCACACAGGCGTCCTCACACGCATCACGCTTCCACACATTCTCCCATACACGCTTCACGCTTCCTCACACGCATCACGCTTCCACACATTCTCCCATACACGCTTCACGCTTCCTCACACGCATCCCGCTTCCACACACGCTTCACGCTTCCTCACACGCATCCCGCTTCCAAGCACGTTTACACAGATGCTTCCACACACGCTTCACGCTTCCACACACGCATCCCGCTTCCAAACACGCTTCCACACATGCTCCCATACACGCTTCACGCTTCCTCACACGCATCCCGCTTCCACACACACTCTTTCCTCTTCCACACAGGCGTCCTCACACGCATCACGCTTCCACTCATGCTCCCATACACGCTTCACGCTTCCTCACACGCATCCCGCTTCCACACACGCTTCACGCTTCCTCACACGCATCCCGCTTCCACACACGCTTCACGCTTCCTCACACGCATCCCGCTTCCAAGCACGTTTACACAGATGCTTCCACACACGCTTCACGCTTCCACACACGCATCCCGCTTCCAAACACGCTTCCACACATGCTCCCATACACGCTTCACGCTTCCTCACACGCATCCCGCTTCCACACACACTCTTTCCTCTTCCACACAGGCGTCCTCACACGCATCACGCTTCCACTCATGCTCCCATACACGCTTCACGCTTCCTCACACGCATCCCGCTTCCACACACGCTTCACGCTTCCTCACACGCATCCCGCTTCCAAGCACGTTTCCACAGATGCTTCCACACACGCTTCACGCTTCCACACACGCATCCCGCTTCCACACACGCTTCACGCTTCCTCACACGCATCCCGCTTCCAAGCACGTTTACACAGATGCTTCCACACACGCTTCACGCTTCCACACACGCATCCCGCTTCCAAACACGCTTCACGCTTCCTCACACGCATCCCGCTTCCACACACGCTTCACGCTTCCTCACACGCATCCCGCTTCCAAGCACGTTTACACAGATGCTTCCACACACGCTTCACGCTTCCACACACGCATCCCGCTTCCAAACACGCTTCCACACATGCTCCCATACACGCTTCACGCTTCCTCACACGCATCCCGCTTCCACACACACTCTTTCCTCTTCCACACAGGCGTCCTCACACGCATCACGCTTCCACTCATGCTCCCATACACGCTTCACGCTTCCTCACACGCATCCCGCTTCCACACACGCTTCACGCTTCCTCACACGCATCACGCTTCCAAGCACGTTTCCACAGATGCTTCCACACACGCTTCACGCTTCCACACACGCATCACGCTTCCACACACGCATCACGCTTCCAAACACGTTTCCATAGATGCTTCCACACACGCTTAGTTCCCGCTTCCAAACACGTTTCCACAGATGCTTCCACACACGCTTAGTTCCCGCTTCCAAACACGTTTCCACAGATGCTTCCACACACGCTTAGTTCCCGCTTCCAAACACGTTTCCATAGATGCTTCCACACACATTTATTATTTTCATCAATCAACTTATTAGTATGATGAAAGAATATGGTGGACAAGGTATATATATATATATATATATCTCCTGATGCAAATAATCTATTTGCTCTCGTGTTTGCTGCTGATGTTTCTGCAGTCGCTGATACTGCATTACAGTTACAAAAAAAGATAATTGGTTTGGAAAGTTTTTGTGAATTAACTGGTATGAAAGTAAACTTGAAAAAGACAAAGGTTATGGTGTTTCGTAAGAGCGGCCCACTGCGACACTATGAGAATTGGTCTCTTCACGGCCAGAAGCTTGAGGTGGTGTCATTTTATAGATATTTAGGTATAGTATTTACACCCAGACTAGTTTAGACTAAAGCACAGTCCTGTCTTGCATCACAAGCAAATAAAGCCATAATGGCAATATACAGGTGTCAAAAGAGAGTAGGTGATATTAATTGTACTGATCTTTTCAGGATTTTTGATGCAATGGTTACACCAATATTGTGCTATGGGTCAGAAATCTGGGGAACAGCATATTGTAAAACTACTGAAAATGTTCAGATAAGAATGTGCAAATATTTCCTGAAAGTTGGTAAAAGTACATGCAATAGTATGGTACTGGGTGAATGTGGTAGAGCTCCACTTCAGCTTACATACATGTCACGGGCAGTTAAGTACTGGTGTAGACTAATCACTCTAGATAGAAATAGGCTAACTCATCAATGTTATTTAATGCTAAAGTCTCTTGATGATGCTGGCAGAGTCACATGGGCTACACATATCAAACATATTCTATTTTAATTTGGGTTTGGTTTTGTATGGATTAGCCAGGATGTTGGAAATATTAACGTTTTTAGCAGATTATTTAAAATAAGATTTCTTGATAATTTTAAACAAAACTGGTATTCTACACTACACTCTTCTCATAGATGTGCTAACTATGTGTTATATAAGGCACTTTTACATGTGGAAACGTACTTATGCATTGCTCTTCCTTTACATTTGAGAATCTGTTTCACAAGATTTAGATGTGGCAATTTTAGACTTATGACAGAAACAGGAAGATACACTAATATACCATACCATTTAAGACTATGCCCTCATTGTAGGCTAAATGACAAAATGTACTTAGAAGACGAGATTCATGTTTTACTTGTATGTGATGCATATACCTCTATTAGAAAAAAGTATATTAGTAAATACATCAGAAATGACAGTGCAGTAAACGTATTCATAAATATTATGAAGACTCAAAATACACAAACAATAAGTGATTTCTGTTTATACCTATTCAATGTGCAAAAAATAAGAAATATGTCCAATACTACTTTATATACCTATTTTCCAAGAATGCTGTGTGGATGCAAAATAGCGCTCAGAAATGAAACCTTTATATGTCTGTATTTTGGGCCACTGGCCTCTATACTGAATAAAATTGTCTTGTCTTGTCTTGTCTTGCCCACACACGCTTCTCGCTTCCACACACACTTAGTTCCCGCTTCCACACACGCTTCCACATACACTTCCCGTTTCCAAAGACGTTTCGACAGATGGTTCCACACACGCTTAACTCCCACTCCCACACAAGCTTCACGCTTCCACACACACTTAGTTCCCGCTTCCACACACGCTTAATTCCCACTCCCACACACGCGTCACGCTTCCACACACACTTAGTTCCCGCTTCCACACACGCTTCCTCACACGCTTCCACACACACATAGTTCCCGCTTCCACACTCGCTTAATCCCCACTCCCACACACGCTTCACGCTTCCACACACACATAGTTCCCGCTTCCACACACGCTTAATCCCCACTCCCACACACGCTTCACGCTTCCACACACACTTAGTTCCCGCTTCCACACACGCTTAATCCCCACTCCCACACACGCTTCACGCTTCCACACACACATAGTTCCCGCTTCCACACACGCTTAATCCCCACTCCCACACACGCTTCACGCTTCCACACACACATAGTTCCCGCTTCCACACACGCTTAATCCCCACTCCCACACACGCTTCACGCTTCCACACACGCTTCACGCTTCCACACACACTTAGTTCCCGCTTCCACACACTCTTCCTCACACGCTTCCACATACACTTCCCGTTTCCAAACACGTTTCGACAGATGCTTCCACACACGCTAAATTCCCACTCCCACACACGTTTTACGCTTTCACACACGCTTAATTCCCGCTTCCACACACGCCTCCCGCTTCCAAACACGCTTAGTTCCCGCTTAGTCCCCCGGACATGACCATGCCAGTCTTTGACACACCGACCTTGTTCCTCGGACATGACAATGCTAGTCTTTGACACACCGACCTTGTTCCTCGGACATGACCATGCTTGTCTTTGACACACCGATCTTGTTCCTCGGACATGACAATGCTAGTCTTTGACACACCGACCTTGTCCCCCGGACATCAACATGCTAGTCTTTGACACACCGACCATATCCCCCGGACATCAACATGCTAGTCTTTAACACACCGTTACCATGTCCCCCG